GAAAATAGGAAACCTACCGTTCTGTTACTGTAATTTGGCCAAAAAATTGAGCACCTACTGAGATAGAACAAACTAAAGTTCATAAGGGCAACTCATAAAATAGTAAAAATAGAAGCAAACATATATATACATCCACACGTAACAATAGAAATACACCCCACCAGGTCATTAAAGTTGTAATAATAACGGTTTAAGTATCCATGTAAATGGCGTAAGTAAAACTCAATGGAAATGTTACCTTTTCGTAATGCGCCCACCAGTCGTCAGATGCTTGTATCAAACCCGTGGCTTCATTGTAACTGATGCCGGTTAGCCCATGCCTGCTGTCCATCAGTTTCGACCACGACTGCCAATCCTTTTTCAGCAACGCGTACTTGTTCTGCAGTTGCTTGACGTCATGCACCTTATTTGTACGGTCCAGAAAGCCCTTGCTTATAGCTCGATATCCATGCATTATCATTGTATGGAAGCTCCCCTTGAAACCAACGTCCAACTCTTTGATAACAAGTTCCAAAAAAATCCGCACCGTGTCGGAGTCCCAAGATGCTTTATGCACGTTTGTGGACTGCTGCTGCGTCTGTTTACTACCGCGCTTGCGCAAAGATTTGGAAGGCGTCGACTGCGTTTGGGACTGCTCCATTTGCGTACTACAATGCAACAACAATTATGGTATACGTGGAAAAATTGAAAACATTGAAACTCATACTGCGAATAAAATAAAAAACATATAAACAACTGTGAAATAGAGCTAAATTAGCCAAAAGGGCAAAAGATTATAGTGTAATAGTTTAAACTACTATTAATTTGAGTTTTATAGTTCAAACATCTATTTTTGTATATCCTACATTCAGTTTCATAGTTCAAACATCAATTTTTGTTAATCTAATTTTGTTAATGAAAATGAACTAATACTTTAAATTAAAAACAAATCAACAAAAACAAAAAAAATATTTTGGTTTAGAAGCTATATATATATATATTTCTTTTTTTTTCGTGTGTAATTTCTACTTTTGTGTCTCTTACTTAGCTAAGATAGGGTAATATATTGTTGGCCATTTACTAAAAAATCCTATATGTATGACTTGTAGTCACATAAATACTCTTGCGATCTTATAAATTGTATTCCACATTCCAAAATTTCAAATACAATATACTCAAATTTCAAAACGCAATAAGATAAATAGTTGAAGCAAAACAAAATATACCTTATTGTCATTTTCTAATAATAACATATTTGACAAAAACTAAATAAGACAATACCATGAAGCTAGCACATGTATTCATTTAAAAATAATACATTTGATAAAAATTTAATAAGTGAGTAATGAACAAATGAATCATCTCCACATTTGGAATTTGTAGGAAATATAGTGAAAGTAACAAACGGTGTATGTAGACACCCCATTTTTGACCATCCTCAAGACTTGGACGTCATCGTTTGAACACTTGATGATCATCCATGCTCGTGTTCTTTTTGAGTTCCCGAAGGTCTCAGCTGCGCGCCTTGCCTTAGGATCTCTCAACTTGTTTGTTTTGTGCGTGGTTGTGGACCAAGGACTTGTGGTTTTTGCTTCTGAGGGAAGAGGGTGGCTTGTTGGCCATCCCTAAAACCCATCGGCTAAGGCTTTGTGCCATCGGCCTTGTTTTCTTGCCATCGGCCAAAGG